TGGGATCGATTTATCGCGTCTTAACCAGATGCGATAAATCGATCCCAGAACATCGATGGCGTGCCGCCGGACCAGCCGGTAAGTGAAGACTAGGCCTAAGAGTATGGTATTGCAAATAGCAAGAGACTGCAAACAGTGATAAGTCATCCACCACACAGTGCTCCTCCGCTTCAAGGCATTTTGCACATATGAACTAAAATCTTCTGAAGAATCCAATGTTGTGTTATTTATTTGCATTCATTTCACGCACAGGGTCCTATCGTTACATCTTATTCTATTTTGTAATTATATAATTAAACACTGAAGATAGCAGATTAGAAAATACATCTGCTATGATCAAGTCAATGTTATAAATATTAAACAAAAATCTATCATCAAGTGCAAATCCTCTGTTATTTATACATATTAGAACTTGGCATTAAAAAATTGGGTCAACAAATGGTCTTTTTTATCCAATTAAATATTTAAGAACTTTGCTTTCAAACGTGAACAGTTTTGACAAAAATCGGAATCTTTTTTCCCTTCCTTTTCTTGTTTTTACCCTTTTCCTTTCTGCCCTTTTCCCTTCTTTTTCTTTCAAAAATGGCTGAAGTTTTATTTTCCAGTCCTCTCATTTTGTTAAAAAAAAATTTTTTAATCACAAAAAATTCCAAGTAATGAAAAATTGGTCGATTTTGAACCCTGCAAAAACCAATTTCAAGGGTTTTTTGGTGAAATTAACAACAGAGGGTCCTGTGGCACCTTTGAGACTAACAGAAGTACTGGGAGCGTAAGCTTTCGCGGGTAAGAACCTCACTTCTTCAGATTGGTGAAATTAGGTTCCCCTTCTCTGACCAGCTTTAGTACAGATTTTTTCGACAACAGCGGTTTGTTTTCTCCAAGTAGTATGTGAATTCCCTTCTCCCTTAATGCTACCACTGCTGCTAAATCTATTTTTTAATCCAGAAATGCTTTAGACAAAAGTTGACATACAAATTATACAAAGAGGATCAGACTGCTCCACCTTTCACAGAAAATCAGCCACTTCCAGTTGACAGCAGCTGTTTAATAGCAAACAGCAACACTACAGAACGAAGTGTGTAAAGATACTGTCTCCCACTGAACCTGCAGAGGAAGTTTAGGAAGGCAAAATGGAAGGCATCAGAACTGGAGTTAGGTCAAGACACTGGAGTTAGTACTCAGTCTGGTGGAAAGAGCAATGGAATACTTAATGACCATGTGTGGTCAGGAGCTATGTTTTGTGGCTCATCTATAATGATTTTTGAGTTATGAATGTCGAAGTCACAGACCTGTGGGTTCTCAGTGAGTTCTGAATTTATGCAAGTTTTCCTGCAAATTCAAAATCCAAGGAAAAGCGAACATCTTGTGGATATGGACTTATACTGAAGCTACAGTCCAGAGCCTACAGAGGCTTCTGCCCTTGAGTCCAGGCAGGCTGATCACATGGCAGTAGTCCCTGGGGCTTTGGTTTGCTATGGGCCAATATCTAGGAAGAAAAATCACAGATACTCAGATTCTACAATAAAGGAGGCCATCGATAAATCTGATATTTTGCTTTCATCAAAAATTAAGTTCTCTTTTCCCCTGGCAGGCTGCAAGATACTCATTGCTTAGTTATATCCAAGACAATCCAAATCACTGTTCTCCATTGACTGGGTTTTTTCCTAGGTTCGTATACATTCCTGGTGCTATAACGGTGCATAAAGGGTTATTTGATGCATCCAGTGACAAGGTCTCCAGCCTCACATAAAGTCAACTGGTTTCTTACCTTTGAGCAAAGATATGGTAATTATCTTTTGTCCTAAACAGATTTCCACTTTCCAGACTTATTTTAGGGCTTTATTTTCTTTCACAAGCTGGTTACAGACCCGCCTTTAGCAGAGTCACTAGTGTAATAACAGGAAAGTGACTGAAAAGGCCACTGTCTTAACCCATAGCTGCTCCTTGTGGGTCTTAAAAGTCACATCTGCTGGCCTTACTGACAGGTGTTTGGTCTCTCCTCCCACAGAACTGTTGCAGCCACAGGAGGGTGATCCAGATTTTATTCTGTCTTGTGCATCATTCAACAGAATGGTCAGCTAAGTTCCGCCTGCAGAATCCTTATTCCCTGTGATGTCAGACAGCAGGAACCCGGCCGGATTTCTAGATTCAAGAGTGAGTTTGTGACCCCAGCAGTCAGTAAAAGTATCTTTTCACTTGTAAACTGAGCAAGTTTGATCTGGGAGTGATTGAGGCACAATAAATAGATGACCTCATGGTGTCATTTTACAGGTGGGAGCATACATGCTAGAACTAAGGGTGCACAGCCCACCACTGAAATGCAGCCACCTCTGGGGTGAACGGCAGCAGCTGGCCCATAGTGCTACACATTTCAGCTTGGAACACTGTGGCAGACTCCTATCCCCCTTTATGAAAAGAGCTATGGGATCAATAGGTCCTGGCTTTTAGCCAAGTCTTTACATGGTTTCCCATATTTTGGGAGCGCTTGACTTAATTGCAGGGAGCCGAGGGGCACTGATCATTTTGTCTTTATCCGACACAAGGGTGAGTTCCCTCAGAGAATGTACTGTAGGAACTCGTTAAAAGCCACATCATCTACTAGTGTTACAGGAGTGCTCTGTACAAGAGAGATGTCTGTATGTATGCAAATAATTACTAGAGAACATGCCAGTAGGTAGCACGCAAGATTATGTAGCATCATTTCTGGGTGTTATAGGGCTAACCAACTTCTTTTTGTTGTGCATCATATTCTGCAGTTCTTTACAGGCTGCTCTTAACTCCAGCAGGGCTCCTGCCAAGGATCAGTGAATTAAAAGTATAATTAGTCAAACAGAACATGTGCCTCAAGCAATGACTTTAGATACTCAGAATCTTGTGATTCTGTGATCACCAGTTCAATTGCAAAACCTGCCCTTGAAAATTTAGGAGATTGAGCAAAATTCCTGCATGTGGCGAAATCCTTTAACTGCACAGACTGGCGGCATGCACTCCTCTCAGTTCAACACAGCTGTCCTGCATGGGTGTGGTCAGGTATAAAGAGAAAGATTGAGCCCAGGTCAATGCTGAGCATCAATCTACAGCCAGACGCACAACCCAGGTCTACAGAGCCCAGCCCAGACCATCTGCAGCCACCATGGGCCGGGCGTTCGTTTGGGTTGGTAAGTTTGCAACTGGAAATGAATTTATGTGGGATGTTACTGAATAGGACTGTTGAGTTTTATGGGATTTGGATGTGAGACTGTATAATGTATTCTTCACCCATGATGTGGATAATGGAAGGCATTGGGTTAGGCCAATTGCATCCTGCAAAACGCCCACTACTAAAAAGAGGGTGAGAGAAAAGTTGCAACTGTCTAAACTGAAACCCAACATTTCTCGGGTTAACCAATGCTGGGATACTTAACTTCAGTGGTGTTGGTGGAAAAGAGGAACAATATCACCCCCTAAGGCAATGTAGTATTATCCTCCATCTTGCAGCTGGGAAAACTTTAAGGGACTTTCTGAAAGCCGTAGAGGCCGATGGTTAGAGCTAGCATTAGAACTCAGGAGTTCCTAGCTCTCAGTTCTGAGCTCTTAATCCACCTCTCCCTGCACATTAGTTGATTTACTTTTCAAGGTAGTTCTCCTGGGTAAGATTCTTGAGCAGAACCTAAGCTCTGCTCAGCTATAACATGCAACAGTCTTTACTGCCACGTGCCAAGACTGGAGACTGAGAGTGACTTTGTCTTTGGAACTGACTTTGCAGCATGTGGTTCTCTCTGGTTTTGACTTTATTTGTATTGCAGTAGCGCTTAAGTACCCCAGTCAGGAGCCAAGGTCCCATGATAACAAGTAAGGCAAGGCACAACCCCTTCCCCAGGTGGGGAACTAGGAAGCAGAACAGAGGGGCAGTGGCATATGTTCGATAGTCACAATGGTCTCAGTAATAATGGGTCCACAAGAATATGTGTGGTCATTAGTTATGCAATGGACTTTAAACTTATTTCTAGTAGGAGAATTTCTGATTTCTGCATGGCTGGATCTAGACTGTTCTCAGTGGTGGCAGATGACAGAACAAGAAGTAATGGTCTCAAGTTGCAGGGGGGGGAGGTTTAGTTTGGATATTAGGAAAAACTTTTTCACTAGGAGGGTGGTGAAACACTGGAATGGGTTACCTAGGGAGGTGGTGGAATCTCCTTCCTTAGAGGTTTTTAAGGTCAGGCTTGACAAAGCCCTGGCTGGAGTGATTTAGTTGGGGATTGGCCCTGCTTTGAGCAGGGGGTTGGACTAGATGACCTCCTGAGGTCCCTTCCAACCCTGATATTCTATGATATTCTAGGCCCGGGGGAGGGATTTTTAAATAACAATCTTCTCTTCTGTTTTTATTTTGCTGTAGGTTTAGCTGTCCTGCTGTTTCTCCAATGCAGTAAGTCACCTTTTCCATGACCATCCATTTCTTAAAAGAGGCATGGGTAGTAGAAAAGAAATCCCTTTGGATAACAGAATAAGGTCCAGTGTTTAGCTGGGATTCAGTAAGCCGTTTCCTTGGTCAGAGGTTTAATTTTGGAAGTGGTCTCTGTGAGCCTGATCCAAAGCCTCCTGAAGTTTCATTAACTTCAGTGGGGTTTAGATGCTACTAATAAGCTCGAGTCAGTTATCTGTATGACAGCTCTGTGAGCCCATCCACAGCCTGCGTGTGTGTAACTTAGCTACGTTCAGATGCAATGCTGCTTGCCGAGCAGTGGCAAACAAACAGCTGCCCTCCCATACTGTCCCATATGAGCACAAGTGGCCCATAGCCCGTGGGACACATTCACTTTGAGAACAGAGGCAACGGAGGTTGTTCCTACTTAGCTGACTCTTGTCCTGTCTCCATTCAAAGATCGGGCGTAACAGACCCACTTCTGGAGCATGGTTTAGATGTTCAAAGCCCTGTATCACTGCTGTACTACAATTCTCAGTGGGGCAGCCAGGGGCCACCGCTGTGGGACAAAGTACAAAGCAAAACAACAGTGAGGCCTAGCATAGCCATTTCTACACCCAGGTGTGCAACCCACCTATTCTCAAAAGCTTTCGTCACGTCAGTACCAAAGCACGACCAGTCCCATTCCCCAGAGACTGGAAAGGAATTGGAAGGGCATTCCAAGTCCTTCTGGGTTTGGGGAACCATGCTAAAAGGAGCACGGTTATGGCCCACATGGACTCAAGAGCTTGAATACTGTACAATGAAATCGAGGGAGTCTGTGAGGCCCTATGCTATCAGCCAACTGAAGGGGTGCATCGCATTTTGATTCCTTGCCTCAGTCCTCATCGCACCTTGACATCTCTCTCCTATTTCTACAGGCTCTGCTTGCAAACTGGTCTGTTACTTTACCAACTGGTCCCAGTACAGACCAGCCCAGGGGAGCTTCCTTCCTGAGGACATTGACCCCAACCTATGCACTCATCTCATTTATGCCTTTGCTGGCATGGACGACAACCGGATCACCACTGTGGAGTGGAACGATGAGCAGCATTACAAGACTTTCAACGGACTCAAAAGCAAGTGAGTCAAAGGGGAGAGGGGCCTATCTCCCAGCGCTGGGGTCTCACCCCTAGAGAATGGGGCTCTGGGTTTATCCTGAAGGAGGAGGCAGACCTGGGATTTAAGCTAAGGCTGTTTCTAGTTTCATCCGAGAGAGAAAACTCCTTTGGAATCATTATTTATCATGTGCTCAGCAGTGTACAAGACCAAGTCAGTCCCTGGCCCAAGGACTTTAAAGTTTAACCTATCCTCTCCATGAGAAGAGTGGATGTGACAGTTTGAAGACTCATGTTGACATCACCATAAATGTTAAAAAGCCCAACTTCTTGCATCTGAGAGGGATTCTTCTCTGAAAGATCCACTCAGACACAGAATGTACACGAATGGGTTTTCAGTAGGGTTATAGCAAAATAGAATGTATTATCAAGCGTTGGGGCACGAGCTAAACTAGAGGGGGGGGGGAACCCCACCATTCAGTATCTCAGCATAATCTGGGGACAGTGCCTTAAACTTTAGGGAGGTCCCAACTTCTCCTTCCTCCCGTTTATCTATAGGAAGGTTTGAGGGCGTTTACATTGCAGAAGTATGGAAGCTTTCCCCCAGATTAAGCGTCCAGATCAGGGGTAGGCAACCTATGGCACGCGTGCCGAAGGCGGCACACAAGCTGATTTTCAGTGGCACTCACACTGCCTAGATCCTGGCCACCAGTCCGGGGGCGGGGGGACTCTGCCTTTTAATTTAATTTTAAATGAAGCTCCTTAAACATTTTAAAAACCTTATTTACTTTACATACAACAGTAGATTAGTTATATATTATACACATAGAAAGAGACCTTCTAAAAACGTTAAAATGTATTACTGGCACACGAAACCTTAAATTAGAGTGAATCAATGAAGACTCGGCACCCCACTTCTGAAAGGTTGCCGACCCCTGATCCAGATGATGGCTGTGTTTATTAAGATCGGAGAACGCTTGCAAGTCCAAGTGTGAGGGACACAATGAAAGTGAGCTTTTTCAGCTGCTTTTAATGCCACCTTTTCTCCCACCCAGGAATCCTGGGCTGAAGACCCTCTTGGCCATTGGTGGTTGGAATTTTGGCTCTGAAAAGTAAGATGAGAGGATGTTTGTTTTCTGCATGAAAAGCGTGAGGCGGGGGGGAGTGGATTATGCTAAACCTCAAAATCCTGTGATGTCCAGGAGAGTCAGAACAGTAGCATGTAGGAAGGAGACTGTGCATTCTATCTACCTACATTAGGCACTTAGATACTATGGCAATGGTGGTCGTATGAGTGCCTCATAACACACCCGTAGTTAGCCTCAACACCTCTGTAAGGTAGGGCACGGCTGTTTTCCCCATTGTACAGATGGGGAACCGAGACAGACACTACATGACTTTCCCAAGGCGCACCCAGTCTGTGACAGAGCAGGAACTGAATCTGGGTTTCCTCATTCCTAGACTAGTGCCCAGCCCATTAGTAGTATATTTCAGAGCTCAGTCTCCAAAGACAATCAGTATCAGCTGTACACTGCCTCGTGATGCCCACATCAATGTTCAGTACAACCTGGAGTTAGTGGAGTCACTTCAGCTTGACACTGGTTTAAGAACAAGTTCTCGCCTGTGGGTCATTATGCCCTTTTTTGACTAAAATTTGTCACTGAGGAGGTTGCCCCAGAATTTTCATTCTGGGCTTTTTGTCATGAAGAGGTGGTCTTGGAAGGCAGAAGCTCAAATATTGTGTTTGGTACTGAGATTTGTGTGGTAACATTTTGGGAAGTTTCCAAATCTCTCGTGCTCTTTGACAGCAATAGAATTACTAGCAGCTGTGAAGTCTTTGGTATTGACAATTCATCTCATCAGTGCTTAGCAACTTAGATTTTTTTATATTCATTTGTAAAGCGTTAAACCTGAAGCTCTCCCTGAAAGCTGTCTCCAAAGCAAACAATATTCAGACTAGTGATTTGCAGACAGAGTCTCCTTCATGCTCTGGATGTGACGTGGGCTGGAATTTAAAGTGAACTGGGGCTGAATATGACCCTGCGAGGACCAGTGGCCTTTCCTCCCAGCTGTATGTAACCCCAGGGCTGGTGCAAGAAAGTTTCACGCCCTAGGCGAAACTTCCACCTTGCGCGTGCCCCCCTCCCCCAGCCCTGCGGCAGCTCCCCCACCCCTGCCCTGAGGCGCCCCCCCACAGCAGCTTCCCCCCACCCCCGGGAGCCATGCAGCAGCTCCCCACCCCAGCTCACCTCTGCTCTGCCTCCTCCCCGAGCACGCCGCCCCCGCTCTAATTCTCCTCCCCTCCCAGGCTTGTGGTGCCAAACAGCTGATTGGCGCCGCAAGCCTGGGAGGCGGGAGAAGTGGAGCAGCGACAGCGTGCTCAGGGAGGGGGCCCTGCGGTAGCTCCCCCCCCCGCCCTGAGGCACCCCTGTGGCAGCTTCCTCCCCCGGGGAGCTGTGCGGCAGCTCCCCACCCCAGCTCACCTCTGCTCCGCCTCCTCCCCGAGCACACCACCCCCTGCTCTAATTCTCCTCCCAGGCTTGCGGTGCCAAATAGCTGATTGGCACTGCAAGCCTGGGAGACAGGAGAAGTGGAGCGGTGACCGCGTGCTCCGGGAGGAACGCTGTAAAAAAAAATTGGGGGCACCGCTTTTTGGCGCCCCCAAATCTTGGCGCCCTAGGCAACCGCCTAGTTCGTCTTAATGGTAGCACCAGCCCTGTGTAGCCCTCTGTGCTGCTGAGTTTATCTTCTGGACACAGCAACTGTAAACTAGCCCCCAAATCTGCAGCAGGTGGTTAGCAGCACAGACAGGGTAGTTAACATGTCACTTCCATGCTAGGTTCTCCAGCATGGTGTCCACGCCTGGTAATCGGCGGACATTCATCCTCTCTGTGGTTGAGTTCCTGCGCAAGTATGAATTTGATGGTCTGGACCTAGACTGGGAATATCCAGGTGCAAGGGGAAGCCCACCTGAGGATAAACAGCGTTTCACTGCTCTGGTCCAGGTACAGTAAGACCTAGGAGTACAGCCCCCTCCTTCCCTTGCCAAGGTAGAGATTATAAGGATGCAGGACATGTGTTTTGTCCTCATATTTCACCTGCAAACACTACACAGTCTGCAAAGTCAAAGTCAAAGCTGGGGCGTTCTCTAAGGTAGAGACAGCTAACATCTGAAAGGATCAAACAAGTGATGGAATCAAGTCACCAGACTGTTCGAGCATCTGAACTATGTTTTTTGGATCCGAGCTTTGGGCTCATCTCTAGCTCAGATCTCCAAAGAGTGGGGGAAGAGTGTATCCAAGGGGCATACAGGTAAAGTCAGGGATTGGACTTCCTAGCCTGCTGGCGCCTGGCTCAAGGAATCCCCACCAGATGAGCAGACACATAATGCCCCCAATGTCAGAAGATACTGATCAGCCACTTCGATTATTTACTTCCTGGAATCTACCATCAAGTCCTGTGCCTTCCCAGAGTCAAATCATTCACAGCATCAGCCCTGAATACGTTAATAAATTGATCAAATATGTGATCTAATTGGCATGACCCACAGCTACTAGAAAGCTCAGGACCCTACTCTAACTGTGTTTGTCAGACATGTGTGCAGTCTCTCCTTTAGTTTAGATTTGCTTTTTTTGAAAGAAAAAAAGATGGAAGGCATAATTAAAAAGGGGATAATTGATGGTTGTTTGGGGCTTTCTATTATTCCCCCTCAGGAAATGGCTGAAGAATTCAAGGAGGAAGCCAAGAGGACAGGGAAAGAGCGGCTGCTGTTGACTGCTGCTGTGGCAGCTGGGAAGGAAAACATCGATGGAGCCTATGAAGTCGAGAACATCTCAAAGTGAGTCTATCCAGCCACACAGTTTTGCAGAGGACAGTCAAGCTACAGGACCAAATTCTATTACCCAGGATGCTTTGCAACACTTCTCTTGCAGAGGGAAAATCAATGTCATCTTGATTCCTTATTCTCCCTTTGTAGGGCCTTAGACTTCATTAACCTCATGACGTATGACTTCCACGGTTCCTGGGAAAAGATCACAGGACACGTCAGTCCTCTCTACAAAGGGAAAACCGACACTGGATCTGCTGTGTACAGTAACACTGTAAGTGTCAAAGAACTTTGTAGGTGACCCCTCCTTCTGACAAATAAATAGAGCTCAGCTGCAGGAAATGGTTGAAAAGTCACATTTCCAACAAACCTGCATGTATCATCCTTACCCCGGTGCAAGTATCAGAACTTGCGTCACAAGCCCCAGACAACAGACATTCAGTGGCTGTATCACAGTTTGGTGGCAAACTCCAAAAACTGTTCCAGCACCCCTGTTACATGGAGAGACTTCATGTCTGATCCCCTCGTACAGGACTATGCTGTGACGTACTGGAGGAACAAGGGTGCTCCAGCTGAGAAGATCATCATGGGAATCCCCATCTATGGACGGTCTTTCACCCTCTCTTCCTCCGAGACAGAGGTTGGTGCCCCTGCCTTTGGGCCTGGATCACTCGGCCCTTTCACTCGAGAGGCAGGATTCTGGGCCTATTACGAGGTAGGAAAGAATTCACTTTTCCTGCAAGCAGCTCATTAAATGCTCCTGGGTCTACTGTGATTTAAATATGGTGCCTTGAAACTGCCCCTTTGATCCTTCTATTGGCAAACATGCTAATATTTGTAAGATTATTAATTAATTCAGAGAGGCAGCCAATCTCAATGGTCTCTTCCCATCTCTCCATTTCTGTATTTTTTTCAGATTTGTACTTTCCAGAAAGGTGGCACCACCAAAAGGATCGAGGAACAGAAAGTCCCGTATTCCTTCAAGGAGAACCAGTGGGTGGGGTATGACGACCAGCAGAGCATTAAAACCAAAGTAAGCAGTTCCTATGCATTCTTCTCGCCACACATTGTGGAAGGCTGGAGGGGGGGCTATCGGAACCTTCCCGTAGCCCAGAGAGATGGGCTCCACTTTGTATCATTGTGCGTATCGGCAGACAATGCTTTGTATGTCCCTAGACTGTGCATCTGAGAATCTCAATGCACTTCACCAAAGTTAACCTGTTAAGCCTCCAGTCCTGCCTACCTTCTGGGAAGGCTAGTGTTATCCCATTTTACAGATGGGGAAATCAAGGCACAGAAAGGTAGGGTGACCAGACAGCAAGTGTGAAAAATCAAGACAGGAGATGGGAGGTAATAGGAGCCTATATAAGAAAAAGACCCCAAAATCGGGACTGTCCCTATAAAATCGGGACATCTGGTTACCCTACAGAAGGAGAATGTGACTCGCTTGAAGTCACAGCAAAAGATGAGACTAGAAGATGACTTATGTGGTGTGCTGTGAGCGGAAACATTGGCCCATCAGCAGGTGAATTCAGCAAACAGGCCCCCCACAAACCCACACAATCTTTTCCTTGAGTGTAAAGTGTAGGAGAGAGGATCCAGACAATATTCTGGGACAGGGAAGTTTCATGACTTGCAATCTGCTCCACCCTGGCAACAGATTCTTAAGGTCATATGAGATTTCAGACCAAGCAGGAAGCAGAACAGGGCTGTAAACATCCCAGACATGAGCACCCTTAACCCAAACGGGATTCCTGCCTACATGGAGATTCATTGGTTCAAGCATAGGCAAGCTTTTAGCATGCACTCGCCCCTTCTCCCATCCACCTCTCAACCTCATGGCAGGTTGTTTTGGACTTGCAAGAGGCTCCTTAGATGAGTAACAGTTGCTGGAGTTCTAACAGAGGCGAGATGTTTTAACTTCCGTCTCCCACCGGCACCCAATGTCACAGTTTCAGAGATTTTTCCTCTCCCAGGTTCAGTATCTGAAGAAGAAAAGTCTGGGAGGGGCCATGGTCTGGGCCATTGATCTGGATGATTTCAGCGACTCATTCTGCGGCCAGGGGAAGTACCCTCTTCTGCAAACTCTGAAGAAAGAGCTGAGATGCGGTAAAGCATGAGTTAAGGGTCTGCCCCATACACATAATGCAATATCTTCTTGACACATGTATTTTTTTATTATTGGGCAAGAGATTTTTTGGGGGCAGGGAGAGAGAATGAATTGCAAACTTGCACCACAGCCTCCGCCTCCTCTGAACACTCTCAGAGTCTCCAGGGAAAGCCCTAATGGCAAAAACATTTATGTAATACACCATTTTTCTTTGAAACGCCCACGGCCAGCTTTTGGTTCAGAGCGCAAAGGCTGGAGCGGCATCAGTGCCCAGACTAAAGAGGGGAGCCTGGGACACAAAACACCCTGATGAACGTTGTCTGAAATCTTTGCATTAAGCCACGTTGTTATGCCTCCTAAAAATTCACTCATGCAAGCCCATTGGGAATACTGGGGGAAAAAGCCACGTAACTAGGGAAATATAGAGAATTGGAAGAGTTTGCATCTAACGCTCATGAGCTGAGCCACCAAACCTACCAAAAGCAGGCTGGGAAATTACACATCAGAGTCCCCTCCCCAGCATCATAGCTTGTATCTGATTAGCCCAAAGCTGATTTAGTTTAAAGCCACGCCTCTTGTGCATTATTTGTTTCTCCCCCCAGGCCTGTTTCCATGTTATTCCCCATCTGCCCTGTTCTCTCTGCTCTGCCAGACCACCACCGTCACACGTTTGTATCCCTCTTGGAAACACATTTCTCATACAATCCTCCCAATAAACCAATCCACTTTCAACCCCACCCTATTTAGATACATTATAAAAAAGATCAACCAGAAATACTGCCATGGTTTGTGCATCTCTAAAGTAAATAGCCACATTGCGTTGCTGTAACATTTGTCCTCACTTATCCCATTCCCCTCCCTTGTTTCCCTCCCCTATGTCATGGGCAAACTCTTCAGAGCAAGGTCCTAGGAGACTTTGGAGTGCTACCAACAGTCTATCCAGCCACCATGTATTTACGCTTCAACATTAAGTCACCTTTAGTTTTACAGGTGTCTCTACCCAAAAGTCTCTAAATAGTGTAGCATAACATAGTCCATATTTATCGCACCAAACAGTAATTTACCAGATTGCCTTTCTATGGCATTCGATTCAGAGTTAGAATCCTTGTGGACTTTATGCCAAGTCCACTACAACTGCTGCGTATCAAGAGGTTGTCCTACTGTTGGTTTGTTCTGCCCTAGAGAGCCACTGATCTAGCTATTGGCCCCTTTACATCATCGCTCGTTCATATTTCACAATAAAAAGCCCTGTGTCACCTAACAACCATTTAAACCACCACCAAGCTGTCTAAGGGATTGACCACAAAATGTCTCCCTTTGTTCCATTTTCTTTCTGACTAGTAGATGCCGATAACATTGTTCCTTCTGCTAATGCCTCCGCAGGGCTGGTTCAGACGACGCCTGTTCCAGAAACCACCATCAGCACCACTACATCACCGCCAACTGTTTCATCCTCAACCCTCAGCTTCACTACACTACCATCCATCCCTGCGACAAGTACCAACTCCACGACCAGCAGGTTTTGCCTCCATAAGGCCAATGGGATCTACCCGGTCCCCGAGGCCCACGCCATGTTCTACATATGTGCCAACAGGCGCACCTTCCGAATGTCCTGCCCGGAAGGGTTGATTTTCGACTACTTATGCAAATGTTGCAACTGGCCTTAAAAGCAAAGAGCCTCAAATCACCTTCAAGGAGAATGAAATAAGAGATTGATTCGTATCAGCTCAGATAGTTTAGTTTCCTCTGCCATCAAATCCGAGCTTAGGAGATGGTCTATATTGCAAGTGTCTCCAGCAACCTTCTTCTCTGTCCTGGGTGAGTTACTTTCAGGGGCAACAACCCATCGCAGTAATACAGGTCAGAGTTAGGGAGGAGAGTGAGCGGAAGCAGAATATTGGCACTGACAAGCAGGGCTGATGGATTTTCAAACTGTCGTGCATTTATTTCTTCATTTTGCATTGGTCTCTTTTAGAGTCTGGCTTCATCCTCTGTCCTTATTTCATGTTTGTTTGCTCCAAGAAAATAAAGCTTTCATTTGTAAATGAAGTTGTACTTTTCTTCTATTGGGTAGAAGTGTCAGGCCCTATAAGCTACTGAAAAATGGGGCAGGGAGGCAGGAAGGAATGAGGAGATTTATGGCCTCTTTACATCCTTACATCAATATAGTATCCTAGAGTTTGATGTGTGGTTCACTAGACAGTACAGAAGCATCATGCATTATCTCAGCTCCATATTATCCCTCTTGGAGAGCTCAGCAAGATAAATTCAAGATGTACTGGAGTGTCTGTAGGAGAACGCCATCTGCTATTAGTCCAGTCTGCCACAGGTGTCAAAGCTGTTTCTTTATCTTGCATGCTTACCCAGGAAGGTTCGACTCAGACACTCAGGGCCGGTGCTACCATTAAGGCGAACTAGGCGGTTGCCTAGGGCGCCAAGATTTGGGGGCGCCAAAAAGCGGTGCCCCCATTTTTTTTTTACAGCGTTTCTCCCCGAGAACACCGTTGCTGCTCCACTTTTCCCGCCTCCCAGGTTTGCAGCGCCAATCAGCTGTTTGGCGCCACAAGCCTGGGAGGAGAATTAGAGCGGGGGCGGCGTGCTCGGGGAGGAGGCGGAGCACAGGTGAGCTGGGGAGCTGCCACACAGCTCCCTGGGGGGGGGGGAGAGCTGCTGGCGGGGGGGGGGGCGTCGTCAGGGCAGGGGGGGGCAGGAAGCTGCCGCAGGGCTG